AAGGGCGCTGAGGTACTCCAGGGGGTGCGGTACAGGTGGGCCACAGTGGGAGGCCTCCCAGACCCGCTGCCAGCAGCTTGTGCAGGCAGGCAGTATTGCAGAGGGGAACCTCATCCGAGGCTGCCAGAAAGCACCCATACAGCCTTGTAATGCCAAATGGTTCAGCCTGGCACAGGTGGGATTAGAACATGGCTGTGGCCCTGACCCCCAGGCCTAGGGCCTTGGTCTCATCAGCTGAGACACACCGGTGGGGATCAGGTGGAGGGGGTTAGCTCCCATTGTTCGTGTGCAGCTCATGACCCACCTCCCAGCCTCAAACCCCTTCTGGTGCGACAGCGCGACACATGGACTGCTGGGTATCCCTGGCTGCCCCGGGACAGTCACATGGTCTCCCTCTCACTCTGTTGTTACAGTTGGGCAATGGTCACACAGCTGTCCTCCCAAGTACAGACACCATTCAGGACAGAAGCAAGGAAGGCGGCCTGGAAACTCTTGTGTTGGGAATGAGCAGAGGGTGCCGAAGGCTCTTGTTCCCAGTGAGGACCTGGAAGCATTCCCATGGCTGTGTTGTAGGCAGCAGGGATGGCAGGAGCGGCACCAGGTGTTGGACCCATAGGATCAGACCAGACCTGGCTCAGCAGCCTCTGTACTTGAGTTCTGGCTAGGAAAGAATTCAGAACCAAGACTCCAACTCTAAGAGCCCATGCATTTATAAAATATAGAGGTAGAAGAAATAATTCGTAGAAGAAATGGGCTTAGGGAACAAGTTATAGAGCAAAGGAAGGGCCCGTGGAGCTTGGGAGTGAGGAAGGTGATGGTAATGCGCCTGGGAGGAGGGGAGATGGAAGGAAAATGCGCTGGCGTGCTCCCCCTGCGTCCTGGGGTCATCCATCAATGTGGCAGACCGGATGTCAGCCATGGCACTGCTTGTCTGGTTTTGCTGCTTTTCTGGGCCTGGAGCTGAAATACCACTGAGGCCTCCATGGAGGAAAGGTCAGGGGGTCCAAACCGCAAGACCAGCGATATGCTAGGGGAGGAAAGGTCACCCTGGGGATGAGGTCCCACCCTACAAGTGTCCTTTGCGAGGCACCCAGGTCTGTCTGCCCTGGTGACCTTCTCTACCTGGCCCGTCATCCTTGCTCTGCTCATGTCTGACTGCCTACCACAGCTGCCGCCCGGCCACACTTGGCATGCCATGCCCGTACCTGCCCTCCCTCAGGCCCTTCCTGAAAGAGCCATTTGGTCTGGGGCCAGCCTTTCACTGTGGCACTTTCCAGCTTTCTGGCATCATCAGGGGTGAGAAGGAAAAGCTAGATGGCAGGACTGCTGGGTGGGGTCAGAGCTGGTTCAACCACTGTTCCAGGAGTTGTTGCAGAGTGACTGGGTCATTGAGTCCTCAGAGGCCTTGTGCCCTGGAGTCTGTGGCTTCCGTGAGCTTCTAGAGCAGCCGTGGGCAAACTACGGCCCACTTGAAATGAATAAAACTAAAAAAAAAAGACCGTACCCTTTTATGTAATGATGTTTACTTTGAATTTATATTAGTTCACACAAACACTCTATCCATGCTTTTGTTCCGGCCCTCCGGTCCAGTTTAAGAACCCATTGTGGCCCTCAGTCAAAAAGTTTGCCCACCCCTGTTCTAGAGCCCAACATGACGCAGCTGGGTGGGAGAAGGATGGCTGGAGACCAGGGGATGGGAAAAGATAAGAGGGGGTGGACCAAAATGATGCCATGTTTCATGGTTTGCCTTGCATGTTGGTTACCAAAACCGTGCAGGAAGCAGCTTGACCAACAGCTGAGATGGAAAAGATCGAAGGGTTTTTAGAGAAATGCAATGTCACTCAGCATCAGGGATGTGAGTGATTCAAAGAATTCTCCTTTTGAACTAATTGGCCAATTAGATCCGGCCAATAGAATGGCTTGCCTTGCATTGATAGCCCTCCAGTAACCTGAGGTATGTTGGCATTCATTCGGCCTTTCCAGAGGAAGTTTAAACATAGTGATCCTCAGACTTCGGTGTGTCTGATTCCCTTGGAGAGCCCAAACCAACCCAGAGGCCCAGGCCCCCTGGAGCAGGGTGGAGTCCGGGCCTCGCAATTGTCCCTCGGCCTCAGGTGACTCTGATACATACCGAAGTTTGAGTATCGCTCTTTTAGAGGACATTTGAACCTCCAGCTACATGAAACTCTTTCCAAAGCATGTGCCCTAAGAAATGAATTTCAGATGACATAGCCCTCCCTCGTGGTGCATTGTGGGGATGATGGGAGAGAGTGTATGGAAGGCCATAGGGGCTCAATCTCATTGTGTCCTGTTTGGCCTCCCCTTCCCCAGAGAATAGCTGCTGGAGATGAATACATGCCAGGCTGGACCCAGACAACACGCTCATTCTGGGCTGTAAATTCAGCTGTAAGGGGGGAGGCCCGGGTGGAACAAAGGGTAAGGAGGGCACATCAGGTGGACAGTCAGAGGCAGTCCAGAGCCACATTTGGAACAGATGCAGATCGCAGACCCCATGGTGAGCAGAATGTGTTCGCCTGGACTTCAGCCTGGCTTGAGTGGCCCAGGTGCCCGCTCACTCTCCCCCCTGTCACCCTCACCCAGCACTGAGCCGTCCAGATTGCCCATCACCAGATGTTGAAGATGTGACTCTGCAGGTGTCAGACCACACCCAGCTCCTGGCTCGTGAGCAGTGACATGTACGCAAAAGTGTAGCCACCCAGGGGGAGGGCGTGCAGCACCAGCAGGCGGCTAGCCAGTGCCCTCGCTACAGCACTCCAGCACCCGGCAGCCTGCCCCAGCAGTGGCTCAGCTCGTCCTCCATGCCAGCTCTCCATGCCAGCATGTCAGAGCCACCGGCCAGGTACAGCTACAGGTACTTGGCTTGCAGGAGCAGAAGGAGCAGCTTGGGATCCTGGGAGGCGGGGCTTGCAGTACCGGTGGGTGGGATGGGAGAGGCCAGGCTGTTGCACGCTGGAGGACAGACAGAGGAGGAGTATCACTTTGCTCCGCCCCGACTTTTCCTTTCACATCCTTAGGCTGAGAACAAGGGCCCTAGAGCGTCTGACCAGGGAGATCAGGATGGGCCAGACTAGCCCACTGAGGGCCCTTCCAGTTTCTTCTTCCACCTTTACCCTGAGCTTTTTGTCCCTTCAGGATCTCTCCTGGCTTGTAAGGGCCAGAACCCCAACCCCAGACTCTCTGGGTGCCCTCCTACTTTACACACAGGCTTCCCTTATTAGGGGTTTGGGGGTGCAATCCTATCCACCCCAATTTAACCCTAGCAGCCCTTCTGCCTTCAGCTGAGGAGACTGGAGGAAGGCCACCCGGTCAGAGGGTAATGCCAGCGTAGCCCGCTCTGACCTCTCAGGCCCTAGCCCCACAACCCTGCTCCCTACACCCACTGTCCTTGGGACAAGGCCCCTACCCGCAGGGTGTGGGAGTCACCACCAGGATCCTCCTTAGCTTCCTTTCAGCTCTCGAGGGAGGATGGGTGGGGTCAGGTACCCAGCAGACTTTGTTCCCCAGCTTCCTGCTCTACGACCTTTTAAACCAGTAGGTGGTGCCATTGGCTACAACAGCCACTGGGTACCTGGCCCCCAAGTCAGCTATGCCCCCACCCCCCTCCTCCCCCAGCCCAGCTGGAGTCGGGGAGGTAGCCCCCAGCCCAGTTAGAACATGTAACAAGTTGTAGTGCAGTAATAGCCTGGGACAGACGGCCTTTCCCTCTCCATGTGCCTCCGTTCTCTACCTGTGATCCTAACAGAGGGAAGAGAACAGCCCCCCACAGCACTGCCCAAAAGCTTCCTGTCTTTTTTTTAACCCTCACCCGAGGGTATGTTTCCATTGATTTTTAGAGAGAGTGGAGGGAGGGGAGAAACACACAGAGAAACATCAACATGAGAGAGACACGTTGATTGGTTACCTCCTGCAGTACCAACCTGGGGCTGGAGATCGAGCCTGCAACTGAGGTATGTACCCTTGACCGGAATCGAACCCAGGACCCTTCAGTTGGCAGGCTGATGCTCTATCCACTGAGCCAAACTGTCTAGAGCAGCTTCCTTTCTATTTTAAAAATTGATTTTGAGAGAGTGAGGGCGAGAGAGATTGTTCCACTCATTCATGCATTCACTGGTTGCTTCCCCTATGTGTCCTGACCCGGGATCAAACCCGCCACCTTGGTGTATCAGGGCAGACTCTCTAAGCAACTGAGCTGCCCCGCCAGGGCCAGCTTCCTGGCTTTTGATCCCACACATCAGCTGCTCTGCTTCACCCTTCACCTTTCAGGGCAGGCTGAGCTGGGGGTGCCTCCGCAGCAATCCCACAGGAGACCTGCCCCCCACCTCCCCCAGCAGAGCAGCTTTCTGCTTCTCCCCAGCATTCCCTTTGAGGCTGGCTGACCTGA